ATTGTGACTTAGATTTCTTTCCTTTGGGTTTTGTTCTATTAGCTTCCGAAGCAGAGCAAAGCCGAAATGATCAAACCAGTGGATTCTCTAATGTGGCTGCTGCTCTGAGAAATGTATGTATAAAGCTGTCTATATGACAATCCCCAGAAAAGCCTGGCTTTTCATACCACGGCCACTGCCAGCTGTGCCACTCCCCAGCTGACCCAATAAAGCGAGACTGGCAAAAAGAAATACAGGAAAGTCAGAAGCCCGTAAAGAAAGAGGGATGGATGCTGGAGAAAGGCAGAAAAACGCAGCTCTTCAGTAGTTAGTGCTAAATTACCTAAGGCTTATTTGCATGCAGTACACTCATGCTGTTGGCCTGGCACTATGCTACTTTAACACTGGTTTATTCTCTGATCATGATTTTTCCTTTCCCTGAGTTTCCGTAGCTTCTGTGTGCTATTGTCAATAATCTACATAAGCCATCCTCTGCTTAGGGGAGCTGCTTTCCCAGGTTGTGAAGTCAGGTTATTTGGGAGCTGAGAAGTGTGTCCATTTCCACCTTGGGCCCCAGGTGCTCTCTGGCTCCCTGCTCCAGGATGAGCTTGACTTTGGATGTGCACAAATCCAGCAGTTTGAAACTGCACAGTTGACCCCAGGGTGAAAAAAAGAAAAGTAATATTGTGTGGTATGTCTGTCTTACTCCTGCTTCCTTGACTTTACTTCTGATTCCTGGGACACAGAGCAAGCAACAGTTGGTGCATGTGTGCTAATTCCTACTGCGTATTGAACCCAGGGGCCATCCTGTGCTCATTGCCTTCCATCCACCTCATGTGCTGCGCTTGGACTGGTGAAATACTTTCTTCTGCCGCTCGGATAGGATGGATGCACAGGGCCTGGGCACTAACAGTGCCCTTGGCAAGCAGCCTCTTAGAGCCAACAAAGGCCCCTTTGTGTTAGGTGGGGGAATGCTCAACGGAACAGAATGAGAGCAGAACCTATTGGTATCTAGCAGTTAAGGAGAATTTGAAAGTGAAACCATGCTTGCAAAGGGAAGGACTTGTGTGCCTTACTGAGACAAACTGTCCTTTCTTCACAGGCAGAATGAGTCACTGATGTGTGTCCTGGTTTGCAAACTTGTTTGGGGAGACTTCCAGCTCTTCTCACATCTGTGACCAGAGCCAAAGGAATCGAGTGTTCATGTACTCAGGTCTGTCCACCTCGGCCTGGAGTCAAGAGAATAGATGAGCAGAAGATAAGAGCAGGAAACTTCACCTGCAGGCAGGCCTTACGATGTGTCCTACTCAGCTGTCCCTGTCCTCCTGAGGCAGCCCCTCTGGGGCCTTTCTCTCTATTCTCCATGCTCCTCCTTTCTCATTTCCCTCAGTGTCTAGGAGCTTTAATGGGCTGTTTCCTCTGAAGTCCCTGCCCTGCCCTTTCTCTCATAGATTGGTGTCCTGCCCTGAGCTGTTGGCGAGCATAACACGTGTCAGAGCTCTCCGTGTGCCTTGGCGTCTTTCTTGTCTGTGTGCAGGAAGTAAGTTCCAGCCTTTACCTCGCACGCTTGATCCAGCACCTGCATATAAACAGAAAGGTTCAGGATTTGAAGTTAGAGGGGAAAAGCAAGGGGAATGGGTATTTCCATTTGGAGTAGAAATTTGTTCGGGTGTGTGTGTGTGTGTGTGTGTGACCTGTATGTGTCACTGAGTTTGTATTTATGTTTACACACATAGGCATATTGTGGGCAATCATGTGATGAAAAAATGAAAACTGGTGATACATCAATGTTACCCAACCATTTCTGCGCTGGAGCTCGCCCTGCCCCAGCGTGGTCCGGGACCTTCCGCCTGTCAGGGGAGCTCCAGGTTCTAGACTCGTGCAGGAAAAATTTCAAGACGTGAGACCAGGTGAAGGCAGAGGTGAGTTTATTAAAGCTTAGGGCAGTGGGGCAAATAGCAGCAAAGCGTAGGCCTGAGGAAGGGGCACAGGCGTGCTCACAAAGGGACATGCTCTGGTGTTTTCTGTCCTGAAGGTTTTATCTAGTTTGTACAAGCAGGAATTCTGGGGGTAGGTCCCAGGGGAATATTCCAACAGAATATTCATTAGATTTCCAGGTATGTTGTTTAGGATGCTGATATATCAAAATGAGCCTATAGTAGGCTCAAGGGTCATCCTCCGATTAGTTTCATCTTTATCTTGGATTAGTCTGGCTCTAATTTATTTTTTTAATCTGTCTCCCTGGGTAAGATGATTTAAACCACCTGCTCTTAGGTACCTTTGATTAGGGAGGATGGGCTTAGACCACCTGCTCCTAGGCACCTTTGGTTAGGGAGGATGGACTTAGACCACCTGCTCCTAGGTATCTTTGGTTAGGAGGGTGGACTTAGACCACCTGCTCCTAGGTACCTTTCGTTAGGGAAGATAGAGTCTTGTGATTTATCAGCTGTTAATTGCTCAGAAATTCTGGTTGTTTGTTCAGCGATTTGTGTTAGTTTTTTTTCATTCCATTTGCCAGAGAATTTTTCTCATTTTTTTCTTAACCTGCCTTCTTAGGAGTTAGGTGGGGACAGTTGAAGTTGGAAAATTTCTAAATATATTAGATAGTAGGGAGATCTCACTGGTAGCATTAAATTTGGTCTGAGACACAAATGACTGAAAAGCAAGACATGTAAAGATCTGGGAGGAAATGTGTCCACAAGAGGAAGCTCCTTGTGCCACAAGCCCAGTGCGGTAACGAGACTAGCTCAGTAAATCGGAGAAGGTCTTGAGACTGAGCCCTGTCCCTAGAGGGCAGGTTGACAAAGCAGATAGAAACCAGGTTGTGTAGGGCTATGGGACTGTGTTGAGGATTTTGATATTTTTATTCCACGCACAGAGCCAAACAGTAAAAAATTTAAGCAGATTTGGAACATGCTCTGCCTTGCAATTAAAAATATCAGTTCAGCAGCAATGTGGAGGGAGAAGAGAAAAAGAAAAATTAGTTAGGAGGCTTGTCACAAAACTCCTTTGGCTTACGCTGGAATGCAGCAGTGAGGTGGAGAGAAGCTGTCACATGAGATATGTTCTATGGGGAGAAACTAATTGGTGGGTTAGGTGGAGAGACTGATGGACAGAGAAAGGACAGCTGGACTCTGGATTTTGAGGCTGAACAACTGGGTAAATGGTGGAAACATTTACTGAGACCAATGGGACTGTGGAGGAGACAATTTTAAAGATTCAATTGTGAAATAAGTGACTATTTTTGATATGTTAAGTTTGTGCTACCTTTAGCCATTCAGATGGAGCTCTCAAGTAGGCAAGTTGGATATGTGACTTGAGTCTGACAATGAAAATACAGGCATCATCAAAAAATCCAAAATACTTGTGAAAATGTTATGGTTGAAATTACACAGAGAAAAATGGTGATTAGGTCAGAGAAGGGCATTAAGAGTAAGCTTTTTAGCCAATAACGTTTAGAGATTTAACAAAGAAGGAACCAGCTAGACAGACTGAGGAGTCAGTCGGGCTGGTAGAAAGCAGGCGTGTGGGCTGTCAGAGACACCCAAGGAAAAGAGCAGTCACCTGTGCTGACAAGTACCAAGTGGAAGTTACTGGCTGCCTCAGCAAAACAGGCACTTGGGTGTCGGATCCAAAGTCTCAGTGGCAGGAGCCGGGCAAGAACAGGATGTGATAAAGTCCAATGAGAAATTATGTATTATTTTTAAAGAAATTCGGCTGCATCAGGGGAGGAAAAAACACACCCCTTTCCCTCTAACCTCTTTGGCCCAGGGACCTGGCCTCTGCAGACTGAACTAGCAAACGACAGATTAATAGGACAAGAAGCCTTATTTTATACACAAATGAGGAGTGTTACAGACATTAAATAAAAATTCCATAACCGTGGTCAGGCCTAGAGGCTTCTATACCATTTTAACAAAAGGCAATGAGTTTATGGAGAAGTGACAAGGCTTTGGAAAAGGGTTCTGAACTTTTAAGGGCAGTAAATTGTGAACTGAGTATGTGGTGAAACCAACCTCACCTCTACCCGACCCCTCCTGCTAAACCTAACAGTAAGATCTGCACTGCTTTGTAAGGTATGTCCACACAGGCCCATCTTGGGCCAACTTTCTTTCTTCCTAACAACTACGAAACTCCCCCAGAAGAGGGATTTAGTGCGGTCATCATTTTTCAGAAGTTCCCGCTCTTAGTCACAAGCTCCAAAAGGCTGACTTCTGCACATGCTGATTCTCAGCTGCCTTCAGCTCCCGATAAATCATATGGCAAAGTGGCATGTTTGAAGGGGGCGTGATCTGATCTCCAGCTGTGAGTGAACTGAGAAGTGGGCGAGGACGGGAAAGAGTTGTAAGGTTAAGGAAGGGCTTGTGTATTTACTTAAAGATGAGAGATTCTGCGCCATAATAGGAATAAATCAATGTAGAGACAGACACTGACATATTAAAAAAATGTTTCGTGTAGGAGCAAGAATCATGAAAAGGTGAGTGGAGACGGCCTCCACTGTGGCGAGGAAGGACAGGCACGACCTGGGAGCTGATCTCCCGTGCAGGAGGGCGGCTGACGCGCGAGGCCTGGGAGACTTTGCAGGGTGAATGTTGCTGATCAGCCTGTGGACTTAAAGGAGACACGGACACGGGAAATGTACTCGAGCTGAGAACTCGAAGGCTCAAGGCCGTCAGGACCAAGAGCCCGAGACTCCTCTTCTCAGCTTTTTTGTTGCTGCTCCTAACAAAGCAAAGCTTGTGCTTTCCCTCCCTGCTGCTAATCATACCAAAATGTTCTCTAAAAACTTTGTATTTACCAAACTTTGATTTAGATTAGCTGTTCCTTTTACGCAGACGGCCCCGTATCAGAACCCCAAGAATAGCCCCGCTCACGCTCCTCTGTAACATTCTCCGCGTTGTTTGCGGCGCAAGCAGAGCCTGTGTGCAAAGAACGTCTGTGGTTCCTGGAAGGGACCCCGGGCCACCTCACCTGCATCCTCAGCGGCCACTTTAAGGAGCCTCCACGGGTGAAGATGAAGTGTTGCTTTTGGCTGCTTCTCTTTTCTTGGTAGAAGACAAGATTATGACCTGGGAGAGGGACCTGTAGTGTGTGTGGTCAAAGGAAAATCATAATATAGTTTGATTAAACTGTTGAGAGAGCAATAGTAGTATGTATTGCAATGTTGTCAAGTCATAATAGGTCCCAGCAAATATTGTTCCTTTCTTTAAAAAGCTACCTTCACCATTTCAATCAACACTTCCCTCTTCAGCTGATCCTCACTCTGCGACTGCTTCCACCATATCGTAACTCCCACCATATCATTGCTTTCACCATATCATCGCTTCCACCATATTGTTGTTTCCACCATATCGTTACCTCCGCCATATCATCGCTTCCACAGCAGAGGAACAGAAAAAAGGAGGAGAGATTAAGTGCAAACATAATTTCAGGATCCTTTGCATGATCTAGAATATATGATATATAAGTTTTTAAACTGGCAGAATAAAGTTATAATTAATGCCAGTCTCCTCAAACCCATTCTTTGGCCTTAAATTTTGTTAAATTAGATGTTCCATACACACTAGGCATTTTCAAAATACATTTGTAAAATTCAGTCAGCCCATTTCCCCTCTTGATTGACACCACTTATAAATAGCTTGGGTCACAACATGTCTGTAAAACACACCTCTACCGTATCTGTGTCAGAAGGAAAGGTTAGGAGTTTGTTTCATATTGACTTTGCTCACTCTCTCAGCCATTCATTGACTGTCATATGCCATCACTCTGCTAGGCAATAGGGTAATGCACTGACAATGTCTGCGTTCCAGTACCCACAATGGCAAAGCTATAAGCAATGGCAATGCTGTGTGAGCATTACCGCGACAATAAAGGTAAGTGCAGACAGTGTGGAAGACAAAGCAAGGCACATACACAGCCCAACAGAGAGAGGGGTGGCTCCTCAGAGTAGGCGGGGGAATATGACACATCCCCTGGGTTTGAAGAATGAGTGGGAGGGAACCAGCCAGGTAGAAACCTGGGAGAAGACTATCTACCTGTTCCTGAGGAGAAATATGGGAGCATAGCAGGATGTGGGAATGCAGTAAGCTGCATAGGCCTGCAGCTCATGGTGACAGCGTGACAAGCAATGAAGGTGAAGACTCCACCTGGGACAGAGAACAGAGGCCCTGTGGATCTCACCAAGGAGGATGGAGTTCATCATGAAGACCACTGGGAGCTAGGAGTGCTAGGCATGAAATGCATTAGAAGCGTTACGGATATTAAGAAGAACAGTGTACGTCAGATTCACACTTTTGATGTATAGTTATCGTAACCGAGGAAGGCCATTCATCAGGGTAAAATTTTTATACATTTTCTTCAATTTTGAAAATGAATACAAACTTATCTGTCCAACCTGCTGTTACAGTTAGATTCCATTTGAAGCTCTCTGAGCTCATTTCCGAGAAAAGGAATGCACGAGGGACTGCTGTGTTGAAACCATTGCAGATTTATCAGTTTAGGATGGCACTTAATGTCTCAAAGCTTGGAGAGCTAAGTGAGATGAAGCTAACATCATTAGAAAATATTTACATATTTTTTATGCATCTACAGTAAAAATGTCTGAGGAAAATCACTGTTTCCATTTCAAGTTTCTCAGTGTGGTCTCATGTACCTGGTTTAACTATCCCATTCCCATCACAAGCACAGCAAGGTGACCCCCCCAGGCTGTCATCACGTGTGATGCACAATCCTCTTAATTAGCCGCCATTAATAGAATGTTTTCTATTTAACTTGAATTGTTTCCAATTACTGCCCACAACCCCTCCGCAAACAGAATCACACACACACACAGGTATGCCCACACTCAAGCACACACCCACATGCCCGAACACCCACACACACCTGCCATTTTTAAATTCAGCCAAACTTTGGATTTGCCATCTGAAGGAAGATCCCATTAGCAGCTTTAGCAAAATGTTGTCAAGCCTCTGCCAATTTTCTGTCTAATATAATTTACTGATCTTGCTGTTTCTCACTCTCTAAATAGTGTCTCAGTCTTTATAAGTAGGGTTTTCTCCTGCAATATGGTACAGATATCCCTCCTTCTGTAGAAATCAAGTGTTGTGCCACTGTAGCAGCTTGCTGAGCAATAAACCGAAAGAAGTTACTTGAGAAGGATTTGGACAGTAATTTCAATAAACAGCAACAAGCAGCTTTTGTACAATTTCTAGGGAAAATAGCTTATATTGACTTGGTTATTTTTCTGAGTCTACCCTCGTCTGAGGCTGCTAGTCAGATTTCTGCAGTTTTGAGCTCCAAATATGTCATCCCACGATTACTCAGACACCAGGCCCAGGACAACAGAGAGGCAAGAAAGGGGATGGTATTGAGCTCAAGAGTAAGGCATGAAACCGTTATATGGGCACCCACCATGGCTTATCCTTTGGGTAACTCAATTCAACTTTATAAGCTTTACTTCTATTACCTATAAAAAAGAGTAATATTGCCCTGCCTGCCTGAACTGTTTTCACTCACAATACTTCTGATACCAGATTTATGTTTCTTTTCTTCCCCCACACCGATCATTTCTCCAACTCTTCAGACATAAACTGGATGTTCTACGATTCAATTCAATTCTGACACTAACTCCCTAGACTTAGTACAGACCCCACAGGTCAGGGTCCCATGCCACAAAATCACCCCCACTTCAGATGCCAGCTGCAGGTTCAAGGCTGCCACCTGAACTTCTGATGAACACACTATAAACTGAAGGTTTCCATGTTCTCTTCAGTTTCAATAATTTGCTAGGATGGCTCACGGAACTCAAGAAAATGGTTTACTTCCTGTGTTCCGAGCACACAGCTCAGGCACAGGCGAATGGGGCAGATGCCCGGAGCAGCGTATGGAGGAAGGGCCTGGAGCGCCCGTCCTCTCTGGGTGTGCTGCCCCCCAGCTCTTTAACGCGTTCACCCATCTGGGGGCTTTTCGAATGTTCTTGTTTAGCATTTCTATAGAGTTTAACCTCCAGCCCTCTTCCCTTCCCTGGAGCTCAGTAGGTGAGGTTGACAATCCCAACCCCCTAAGCTGGTCTTTCTGGTGACTGACCCCATCCTGAGGCCACCTAAGGGCCCCACACTCTAGGTCAGCTCATCAGCACAAACGCAAGTGTGATATAAAGGGCTCAATGGGAATAGCAGAAGACAGGGAATATGAGGAGTTACAGGAACTCTGTGCCAGGAACAAGAGACAAAGGCCAAATATATTTGTGTATGATAAAGAATATTAACTGGGCACTCTGTTGGAGAGTATTTTATAACTTCCAAAGTGACAGATGTAGAAATATTTAGAATATTTTCAATAATAAAAATGCATGTGCTACCTGAGTACAGCGGCTCTGCCCTGTTATCAAGTTTACTAACTGATGAGCACAAAGCTTTGGTTTCAACAGTTTCAATAACTCTGGTGTGACATTTTCCCCCTACTCTCTTCATCATTTGGAAAAAAATGTTCCCAAACATTACCCCTAAAACTTGAACTTAATGATGTTTAAAGTAGTTGTAATAGCCAAATTACTACATTTTAGCCATATAAAGAATTACCCATGAGCTCTATCTATCAATGCCAAAGGCCAACCACCTTCATGACCTTGATATGAGGAATTGATGATCCAGTTATGGCAGGTGATTAGTATGTTTGGTTATGAAAATATTACCAATGTGGACAGTTCTGCACTTGAATCATCAGAGCTTACTTTCCAATGTGATGGAAAAAATAAGCCAAACATGCAGACATCTATCAAATGTTTAGCTATTTTAAAACTTTTAAAGTATTTTTTATTGATATGATTTTTGTTTGTTTGCTTGGGGAGTACAGAATCTAGCTCCTACATAAGATTCACGACATTATGGAAGTCAGCATAAACTCATTTCCTTTCTGCCTCATTACAAAATTTCTAACTCTATCTGGTTTTGTTTTCTTGTGTTCTTTTTTGTTTGTTTGAGAATCAACATTCTTAGCTAAGGAGTATATTAGTTTCATAGTGCTTCATATAATAAAATTGTTCTGATTGTAAGATACCCATTTTAGTTATAGATTTAGGAACTTTTTTTTTCTTTTAGAATGACTTTTTATAGCTCATTTTCTATTTGGATCTACCAAGACCTGGCATGAATGTCTGAAACCTGGCTCCATTTGTATCTGCCTACAGTCTCCCATTGAATGCATTTCTGTATAAGCCGGAGCTTTTTTCTGTAACTTAGGGTTACCAGTTAACCTGAAATAGTCACAAGAGCATATGATTCACCTCCCTGTTCTTTCGGACATTTCAGTAGGCCCAGATATCCATTACTAACTCACTGTGTTCCCACTTAGTCGTGTTCATCTTCCTTTCCTCTTGGTCCAGAGGAAGTTGCATTTTCTTGATCTATTTATGTTTTCCATTTTAACCTTCTAGGAAAAAGCAGTGGTGTACCCTGGATATCTCCACTTAGCCTGTTCTGGTCCCGGACTCCTCTGCTTAAGGAACCCTTTGATGCTAACTCTTCTGACTGTGAGTGACCACCTACCACTCCACCTCCTATAACCTACAGTAAAAAGTAACATGTACTGCCTAACTGGTGTAGCTCAGCGGCTGAGTATCGACCTATGATCCAGGATACTGCAGTTTGATTCCCAGTCAGGACACATGCCCGAGTTGTGGGCTCTATCCCTAGCAGAAGGTGTGCAGGAGGAAGCCAATCAATGGCTCTCTCATCACTGATGTTTCTATCGCTCTCTCTCCCTCTCCCTCTCCCTTCTTCTCTTTGAAATCAATAAAAACACATTTTAAAAAAAGCAACATGTACCAGGAGTCACAAATACAGAAAACACAAATACTGACCCTGATAACTTACACTAATAAACCAGCTTTGAAAGGTTGTTGGGGTCAGAAATATTAATCATGCTCTGTTAACCATGATTGTTTTCTTCTGATTAGAGAAAGCACATTCTAACCTGATTGAGAGTTGTATGCCCGGGGACATGGGAGTTAACTTTGGAATGTGGTCCATACTTCTTTTATCTTCGTGGGAAGATTAACAGCCATGTTCTTGAAACAATGGAGT